GCAGAATTAATATATAAAATTGACTTTAAAATCTGTGTATCCAAAATTTTTATCAAGTGGCAAAAATATGAAAAGCCAGAAGAAACCTTGTTTTCATACTTCAAGCACAATAATTTAGACTTAAGTTATCTTTTTAATCCTAAACTTTGTATGTGAAAATGTATCATACATGCAATTCAGTTGCAGTGTATAACATTTATAACTACACACTTACTCAAACACTTTGTAACCAACTAAATGAAATAGTAATTATAACTCATTTTTTTTACTAAGCAAATGCATACTTAGCCAAAGAAGAAAATCTAGTGTTTTATGATATTCTTCGAGTAGCCTAAATTTAAAGTCAAACAACATAAAAATTAGAATAACATCAATACGTTTTACAAAATAAAACATTCAATAGTTATAATTTTATCTTACAAAGTTCTAAAATCATTAGGGAATGAACAAGAACAAAACTAGAAAGTCTATTCCAATAATATATTATCATTGTGTTAACAAGTACCAACAAAGTTATAACTTCTCTGTGCTAGCTGCAGTACTGTTTCACTTTTACAATGATGATGTGATACCAATTAACTTTAAAAAAGTTTGATGTGTAACACTATAACCAAAGTTTTGGTAATATTTCATGAAAGAAGAGAAATCCAGTATTTTGTATTAATCAGTGTTGAAAATATAGTCGTAATTAAGTAGTCTAAATAAATCAAATAAAGTTAATATAACATTAATACGTTCTGTAAGTTATTAACTCAGCCAGGTTATAATACAGTGATTTCATAGTATATTTTATATCTAGTTTTACTTTTAAAAAAAATTCAAATTCTGTAATTGAAATTATTATAATTATTTGTAGTCATATTTAGAACAAATAATTATAGCATTTGTAAACACGGTATCTGTTTACAAATATCATTACTTATACAGTTATACCAGTTGCATTTTCACTTATTTTAAACATAAACAATACCAAAAACATTTTTCTCAAAAAAATTCTAACTTAAAACAAGGAAAAAAAAACGATTCTATAACAAGTCTTATGTTATAAGAGCAGCAAGTGCCCTAAAAAGTTTTAAGTCTTTTTTTATAACTGTTATAAAAAATCTGTGAATTACATATATCAACCACATCAAAACATTTTTCTTGAAAAATAAGTCCAGATGTGACAATGTAGTATCAAAACCATCTGTATTACATAATTAAAACAAATATTAAAAAATGAAATTTATCACAACAAACCTTTTGTTTTTCACTTAGTTATACAAAATGCCATGAACTATTTTGAACATATTTTCTAATTTATTTACAGCAACTTTATATTTACAGAATAACTGAATCAAGCTTAACAATGAACAGTATATATATATATATTTATTTATTCATTAACAGAGTTGGCAGTGGGTGTTGTTAGCCAGTTGTCTTCACTTTACTCAGCATTCCAAAGTTAATGGCACTGGCAGTTAGCCTTAGTAGCTTTGCAATAATAAAGATAAGGTGAACAAATTTAGTAGCAATGAGAATCAAACTCAAAACCCTCAAATCTCAAGGCATACACACCCTCATCATGTAGCTTTGAGCTTAACAAACAAAAAAAATAATGGCAACATTTCGATTACTTGAATAATCAGAAACCCTAAATTTGATTAGTTGATTATCTTCCTGACAATCAATTTAACAGGAATTTCAATTAATTGATTATTGAAATAATCAAAATCAATAGTAATCAAAACAACTAATTTCAATTAATTCCTTATTTTTGTGATATTAGTTAATTAATCAATTTGTTTACAAGGCACTAAACAATGTAATCACTGCTCATAGGTAATCAGCTCTAAAAACTAGGTATTTAAAACTGCTAGAACAAAAAAAAAGAAAAAAAAAAGAATATATTTCAAATTTTCTTGATAGGTTATACAGGATACCATGAACTATTTTATGCATATTTTCTAATCTATTTGCAGCAACTTTATTTCTACATATTAAACTGAATAAAGTTTAACAATGGACAGTGTATATATATATAGGAGATCAAGACAGTATGTCTCTCTTATCAAATATATATATATATATTCAGAAGTGGATTATCATTGAGGCAATTGAGGCTGAAGTCTCAGGCCCCATGTTTGAAGGGGCTCCCAATCAGCTCAGAAAAAATAACATTTCTTCAAAATATATAGGGAATGTAATACTAAAATATTAAATGTAAAATAATCATAAAATATATTCAATATATGTATTACTTTTTATTTTCATTTTCTAATTATCAGTATTTAATTTTAACAATTGTTCTTTTTATGTCTGCCTGTGCACTGCTGCTGTCTTTGCTGATGAGCAATATCATTATCAGTGTTAGTACATGATGTCTGGGTGAAATTATGAAAATACAGCAGTAAAACGAAAACAAGCTGCTTAACAAATAGCAAGACAGGTAAAAGTAACCCAGGAGACTGCAAGAATTGATAAATTTTTCAGTCCTGTATCATCTTCTGCACCTACAAATGAAAATGTACTGGTTTCACCAGCATCAACACTGTCAGCATCTGTGGCAGAGCTACATGGGCCAGTAGAAGATAAATATACTCAACCTCTACCTCCATCTATTATTGATGACCTGATTCAAGAAGAGCCACATCCACATGATCCACCTTTGTTGACCCTGATTGAACCTGTATCTAAAGGAGATACAACTAAAACAACACCAATAGTCCCACATGAAACAGATATAGTTCTCTGAAAAAGCAGAGATATCTTTAAAGGAAAAGTTTCGAGATGAGTGAGGTCTTTATAACTATCATTGATCAGCTGAATAGTGCACTGGCTTACCATACAGCTACTTATACAGATGTGTACATAAATTTGTTTTTTTTTTCAAAGTAACCGCAATGGACAGCGCAGAAATTATAATTTTCCTACACTGAAAGTGTATTTCTGATAGGTACTTACCTCCTCTCACATAAATAGCTATTCTTGTTCAGTGCTACCTTCAAAAGTTTCCAAAGGGCACTCCCTAAGATGAGACAGTCAGATTCTAAGATCTGATGTGGGGAACCACACCACTTCTGAACCAGGTGTACTCGTCGCCCATTGTAGAAAAATGTTGCATACATAGGCAGAAAACAGATAAGAACATCCAAGTGGGAGGGAAATATGGCTATAAAGTGATCCAAACCATGCAATATTTATGAAACTCAATCCCAGAAATGAGAAAAGTGAGTAAAATGAAAAGGATGTGTCCCTAGATGTAGAGTGGCTAGGATGCAACAGACCATATGTGGCAACTACATCCAAAAACCCATGCTGATGGGAACTGACATCCATGGAGGGGTAGGATGAGGATCATACTGTCAGTAAGTCAACTACAATCCAAAACCCAGCCATCTGGCAGGAGTAGGAAAGAGGATCATACCATTTTCACCTCAAGTTCATGAGACCAAAGGGAATCTAGTACCCCCGACTCATATACGAGGCACATGTTGTGACAGATTTATTATTATACTATTTATTTTAATATTGATGTTTATTTAAATTTAATTTATATTTAGAAATGTATATAATATATACTGTTAAATATGTACTGTAAAACCCTCTCTTTTCTCTATAGTTGTAGAAGATTCTTGAGTGTAAGAATCAATAATATACGCGTGTACGTAAACATCAGTGTAGCTTTGTACTGTTATGTAATCTGAATTTTCGAGAAACTCTCCAAACGCCTATAAATAGTATCTATTATTGGGTTGCTGTATGCAAATAAGCATTCAAGACATTCCTCTTTGTCATGGAGAAAAAGCCCACCTATGGGTGAGAAATGACTAAAATAAAACGGAGTAGATTGAAAACTAGAATGAAGCAGGTCAAACCTAATACAGGCTGCAAGTCTCCAGTTTGGCATGAAGACAACAAACAGCAAACATACCCGGGAGAAGGTCACATCACGACCCAGAAAATCCCAACTACAGTGAAACCACATGTGTAAAGCGAGAGCCGAAGATGACATACAAGTCAACTTGGAGGTAATAAGGAATCATAGAAAAATGGGGAATTGGATAAAACATAACATACCTGAGAAATCTTGTTGAAAAATGCCAAAGTATGCCTAGCCGATTCCACATGAGGAGTAGGGAAAACATGGCAAAATCCGGTGGTGTAAAAAGGCTACGAAATTGTCATCAGCCTGAACAGGTTCAGCTTGTTCAGGAGGATTAGTGGGGCAAGTTCAGGAGAAGAAGGTTGACCCATACAACGATCGATCTCATGAAGGATAATAGCAGATAAATCCAATGACTGGTCTTCCCCACGTGCAGCCTGTGAAAATAGAGCTAGAGGTATAACACTTGAAGTGGAAACATGAACCTCAGAATTCATTGTAGAAATATGTAAATCAAACAAAAATGCTTGAAGTAAAATATGCAAGTGTGAGAAAAATAAAGATTGGGAATTTAAGTTAAATCAAAAAAGTTCATCAATGAAGCAGATAAAGGATAAATCTCGAGCAAAAATGAAGCAAAAGCAGTTGAATATGCTCTCACTGATGTACATACAAATTGAAATTTTGTGGCAACTGAGTTTTGATGATATAATTTAAGATTTCGCAAACCAGAAAGCTAGAAAAGCAAACTTCTTTAATTAAATATGACAGAGCACACAAACTGACAAATTCCCTTTTTAATTTTACATTTTATATGCCCTAAAGTAAAGTTTGTTTTAGGCTGTTTTAGCAAATGACAAAATATACAGTTTTAAGGTTCTTTTATGTTTACTTCTCAATTAGCCTAAGCACCGCATGTGTAAACTGTGTAAATGTACTATGTACTGTACATGTATTATTAATAAAAATCTATATAAAAGAGCCCCCAAAATAAAATTAGCCTCAGGCCCCAAGTACAGTCAATACACCCCTGTATATATTCCTACAACACACTGCATAAAAATCAGTTTTGCAGTACCTTTTATAACTTGTGAAAAAACTGTGATTTACATATGAACTATATCAAAACATTTTGTTTGAAAAAAAATCCAAATCTGTATTACATAATCACAACAAATCTTTTACTTTTTATTCCATTTAGTAAAACATTATGCACAGCAACTTTAAAAACACTGATCAGCTGAACATGTTCATATAGAGTTTACATCATCAATGTTCTATGGTTTTTCTTGATGGTCAGTTATATCAAAGGGCCTAAAGTTTAGCATTTTTAAAATTTGGAAATGTATACAACAAGTCTGGTGAAGTATCTAAATCATACGTAGTCATCTCCTTAATGTACCACTCAGGAAGTATCTGGAATTCTTCAGGTTTGTCTAACAGATACAGTTTTATATCTTGATGAGGCTGCCATTCCAGCTTGTACACTACACTGTAAAATAGAATTCATTTAGCATTTTAATGAAGAATAACTTGAAGCATTTGATGGTATACTTCTCTGGGATTGTGTTCTCTTCTAGCAGTAGCTATTAGCAACAAGCAATATATACACATATTCAGTAAAAACATTTTTGATCGTGCATTTTTGGTGTTATGGCTTGAAAAAAAAACTACTTCATAATGATGAAATATTTCAGAATTGATGTAACTACATAAAATTACAATTTACACTTAATACGTTATGAAATAAAATATAGTTCTTAACCCTCTGGATAAAGGTGGGTCAAAGTGCAAATGTCACTAACTCTTTCTTTTCAGTGTTACCTTCAAAACTTAATTATGCTACTATATTTTCAATTTATACCAGTAAGTTCATCATCAAAATGCAGTTTATGATTCTAATTTTTATATTTTATAAGATTTTATTTCAAAAATAAATATTTGAATAAATTTTTAATCTGCATCTCTCAGAGTCACAACTTGGCAGCACCGTGACTTCTCATTTATAGACATTTTTCTCTTCCCTTAGAACTTCAGATTATTCAACCAACAAAAAACACATGCTATAGATATTTAGAATTCATAATATATAATTTCAACCTCTTATCTTCTTGCGTTATTGATATATCACAATATGTTTAATCCACATTGACATACCATTCCTATATCTTCAGTCTTACAAGAAGTGTCTACAATTTTCTCTTCATTGCTCTTGGACATGTTTATAACCAACAGAAAGATCAATTTCTACACTATCTAAATCATATAATTGTTTGTTTTGTTTTCAAAGGTAAAAACTGATAATTTGCCATGAGAGCTCATGCAGAAGTTTTCCTAGTGTGAAGATTATCACAAATTGTGCACCTGTAAAAATATTTGTGCAGTTAAAAATTCACCTATATAAGTAAGTTAAAGTGGATAAATATTAAAAAGACATATTTAAGATTATAAAATTCCATTCCCGAGTTGATAAATAAATATATTTACTACAATATTCTTCATTTTTTGGATCATTTGTTACTACTACTAGGCCTGTATATACGTGGTGCAATAAGGCATCATGTATTATAAAATGAAGTTAAAATATAATTGTGCAGTTTTAAAAATTCATAGGAAAAGAAAAGTAATTCATGTAGTTTTCAAATATGCATTTTAGAACACATTAAAAAAACACTTGTTTAGAACATATCAAAAACTAATATCATTTACCTAGCTTTCAAGCTAACTTATAATTAGGTTAAAAATTGTATTAATTCTCAGAGCAATATATTAAGTCCAAAAATCATGAGCTCAGAGGAACAACCAACGTATATTTTTTATTTATTGTTATACTTTTTAACATAACTAAATAAAATGTAGAAGTTGATTAGGTTAGACAAGAAAACCCAATTAAAAAAAATACACCTTGAGCAATGCATGTGGGATGAGCATCATGTGATGCAAGTTGATATAACTCAATACTTTGTTTACCATAACTTTCACTAAGGTCTTGTTGGGTGATTTAATAATTTGTTCCACTAGTTAGACTTGGTTCAAAAAACAATGAAACTAAATGAAAACATGTCCACTGTTACAAGCTAGAGGCTGTTCAGGATAAATAACTGTAATTGTCTGTTAAAATCTGCAGTCATTCTATAAAAATATAATGTTTGCTAAAAGCTTGCCAAATTTCATGAAGGTACACTTAGTACATTCAGAGTTAAAGTATGTATAGTTTCATGGTTACATGATGATTTTAAGGTCGGTCATTTTGACCGACCTCGTATACTGTGTTAACAGACTGAACATAGGAGCATCAGTCAATTTCAAGTATACAAGTATCTTATTGTAATCTGTTGAATTAACCATAAAACTATCTTGTAATAAGAAAGTGATTTATGTATACTTACTGTAACAAATTCTTATTAACAAATATATATATATATATATATATATATAATCTGTTACATTAAGCACACACACCTCTGTTCATTGAATAACTAAGAATTAGGTTTCATATTCTTGCCATTGATTTTGTGTCCTAGTAAAAACTTTTTATGACAATTATTTGAAAAACAGCTTACACATTTCCTTTTTAAAACTGACAAAAATTGTGTTTATTAAGTAATCAAAAATTCACTTACTGTGGGTCATCAATAGTCACATTCTTTTGTACAAAAGATAAAAAGTCATCACAAAAATTCATACAAGCAGCAGGAGACCACAAATCCTAAATAAGCCAATAAATACAATTAAGCTTCTATAAATTAGGATTACAAAGCATTCTTATGATTAAAATTATGAAACAAAAAGTGTTTAATATAGTCTGTACACAACTATTTTGAGAATAGAAGCTCAGTTTTGTCACATTTTTTTCCATAAAAGTATTTATAATTTCCTGAGAAAATGTAAATGTTTAAGATAATGTATTTCTGTATTAAATTGGAAATAAGTGAACATAAGAAAATGCTACCAGTTACAATATATATATAAATATACATGTGTGTGTGTGAATATAAAAAAATGAGATAAATGTTCAAACACTTTCAATAATTTCTGTAAAGTATATTAGTAGCATTAGTATATTAATTTATATAACATACCCTTCCTTTCTGAGATATGTCCTTCAGAGAAAATGTTTGTAGTTTCTCAACAATACCATTATCATTTCTAAAGCCACAAATGACTCTTGGAATTCCTGCTAAAAAGGACTGTGCCCACCACTTCAATAACTTGTATCTGATAAAAAAAAGGGGATATAAAAACATTGGAGAATAGAAAATATAAAAAAGTTTTACATTTTTTAAACAACATAAAATATTGTTCAATGCATATCGCTCTTTTAAAACAGTTCTATGCTTACAAGAAAGACTTTTACAGATGAACTGCACAAATGCTATGGCATGTTTGTGAGTGAGTGTCATGTTTAGTAATTTTGTACTTGTACTTCTATAAGAAAGTGGTATAGTCCTTCTGAGAAGGTCTTGTTCAGATAGAGACATCTGCAATGGAGAATTTTAGTGTGTAAAATTTGATGCTTATTTAATGCCACTTTTGTCTTCTCATCAGGAATATGAGCAAGATCATTAAAAGACTCAAAAAATAACCGTTTTTATACAAAAAACAAAAGTAATCACACTTAAGTTTATCAAGAAGCCATTGATAAAAAAAAAACATACACTGATACATTTAATGTATCTGCAATAAAGGATTCCATTTCTGACATACTTGTATAAAATGCTTTCTGGGTCTTAAAACTGAAACTGAATTGTCAAATAAATGATAAAAATTTACTAAACTGAAGTATATATATATAAATACATAACTAAAAGACCAACAAAATCAGATACACAGTCTTTATAAATAACATCAAACTAAGTGTTGGTAGGTAGATATAACCAACTTACTCCAAAAAACAACCCAGTGCCTTGATGATATCTTACCGAAAGAAATTCCTTTCTTGTTTAGGATGTGAAATTTTCCGTGAAGTCTTGAGTTCAACAAAATGCTGTAAAGAGCTACATTTACATGACTTATCTGATTTCTGTGACACTGAATCTAACCCATCTACCTCTGCTCCATAAACTAAAGAGTGTCTGTTTAAGCGAGTCCTTAATACAGAACAGTATTCTTCTTTTTCATTGATAGGTGCTATAAGATCAGGTGGTTCATCTTCTTTCCCTGATTAAAATATAAAAAATAAATTTCCAGAAACACATTAACATATGCATCAATACAATCCCCCACAATCAAAAATAAAAAGATTTACAAAAGTAGCCTTTGCAACTTTTGGTTTTCTACCCATAATTATCCTTCAAGCATATTCAACTAAAAATAAAAAACGTCTTTAGAAACATCTGTGAAGTATTTCAATTCAAAGGTCATAAGGAGGAGGCACAATATATCTCTGTTAAGTGTTTTGTCTAACTTGGTTTAGAACCGATTTCTTCTTGTGTAGTACAATGAAAAGTGTTCCAGTCCATTTGATTTTATGTATCAACTAAGAGCATGTTATGAATATTTCTTTAAAATGTTGATTTTTTTTTCTCTTCTTTACCTGAAGTCATGTATTGCTCAAATTTGTATCCCCAGGAAGACATTAACTTATCCCGCTCAGTCAGGTCACTTTCCCTTTTTTTTTTCTCTCTGTGTGAAAAGCACAGAGATAGATAGTATTCTGGAATCTGGTGGCACATATCAGCCAGTCTTCCTGTTGTTCATAAACAGTGACAAGTATGGTAGTGAGTAGCCCACGGTAACAGATGAAGTCTGTGTGGAGACTAAAGAAAATTGATCAATCCATCTCATATTACTAGTTTTTGTAAAGATTAATAAAAGTCTTATATCTGACATACATTACCAATCTTCACATAGACTAAAAAATGTAACAACCAAATATAACATCTAAAATTAAAGAACTGTTGTGACTCCCATTATTGATCTACATGTTGATTAACCATTACATATGGGACTAATAAAGGTTTTTCTACTGTAGTTGGCCTATTTATGGACCAAAATTGTTTTGACATTATCCCCAGTCTGTGTAGAAACTAAAGTAAATTGTTATTAGGTAAACTACTTATCCAAATATATAAGAATGTTTAACGATAACATTTAGAAATTTTCAATTTTAATACTTTTAAAATAAGTAAAAAAGCAAAAAACTAAACCCAATAAAAAATTTTTAAGTAGTAATATGGGTCTTAGAGTTTCTCATCTTAACTCACACCCTTGGAGGCTTATTGCCATGTCCTCTCATCCCAAACAATGATCTTTTCATAAAACCTCATTATACTGATTGTATGAAAACTTACCTTCCATCTTTAGAGTCTTTATCTGTTGTGCTAGTTACGTGAAATTTTTTTTGTTCCTTATAATCCATTTTAATAAATTATCCAGCTTTTCATTCAATTCAAATGATTTTTTTATTGCCTTTTCATATCCTGCATTTAAATCAAAGTTCACTTTTGATCCATTAGGAGGCATATGCAAATACTTAAGTTGGTGGCTGTCATTACAGTAAGCACGATTACCATCAAGTGAGAAACATCCCACTATCTGTGGCTCTCGGAAGAAAGGAAACTTCCTTTCATATTTTGTAGAATTATGAACCTGCATTGCTCCAATGTAGCAATATTTCCCAAGAGAAGAATACTTTCTTTTTTTTAATAAATTGCTGTTTATTACTTCTTTTTCTTCCATGTTTTCAACACAAATATCTGATGTGTTTCATTCATCTGAAAAAAATAAAAGAAAGATGTAAAATATTGAATAATTTATGGTATTTTTAAAAATTCTTGTGTCTAAGAAAAAATTGAATAGCATATATATTTCTGGAATTGGTAGAAAAGTTAAAAAATTAAATAAAAAACTTGACTTTGTGATACAAATGCACAGGATGCGAGGTTATAATGTGTAAGCAATTATTCTGATTGTCAGAACATGACTAATGGAGTTCTTTTGAGATATTCATCATTATTACTTAAATGAGTAAGTTGTTTCAGTTGCTTATTCTAAATGTTTCTCTTGTAAGGTTGCTTAAATAAATTACTAATGTTTTGAAAACATTACCTTTTACAAATAGTTCCTTTTCACACATTATTTCCACTATATTTATATTTTACTATTATGCTAAAATGTTTTTAGAATTCAGAACATATTCATAAGAAATCTACAGAACAAATCCATGGTTTTGAATTGTCTATACATACAGTAAAACCTTGTTTGCACACTGTAATATCAAATAAAAGCTGTTATTTGCTAAGGAACTTTTCATCAGTTATAAGGCAACAGAGTGATCTTGAGATTTAACTCAGAGCTAAAGTGCTTTGTGGATATATTGCAACAATTGTTGTGGTCATGAATGTAAGCTTGAGCCAAAAGTTATATGCATAGTGATGAGTCATTTATATCCATAGAAATGGAACCTCTTAACGAGACTGCAGTAATGCTGAATAATAAAATATAATAAAGTACTAAGGAAATTTCTGATTAAAAAGCAATTTCATGAAATTATCTTTGGAGAAAAAATAAGTCTCATAGAGACAGGCAAAATATATCTATGTTTAATTACAATATCAAATATTTAATTAATATTTTTTCACATACTTCAGAGAGTTAACATTCATTAAATAATCCAATTATGTTTTCTATATCCCATTTATATATATAGATATATATACATACACACACATAAATACAAACATACCTACCCGACAAAGTATGCCATACTATTTCATTCTTTACTGCTTCTAATCTTTGCCCAAATATTGTTGAATTATGTGAATTTTTGAAACTGAAAATCATAAACTACAGAAACGTACAAATCATGTAAAACAGTCACAATGTTGATGTACTGGTTCCTAGCCAGTGATTCAGTGGAAAAAGGAGGGACGGGAATGATTAGTGCTTATAATTACCGTCCCTCTTTATAAATATATATATATGTATATCTATATTATTCATTTCTACATCATTTCCAAGGTTCTTTTCAACCTTATGTATAACTATCTACCCATGATATTCCAAGCATGCAGGATCAAAACAAAAAAGTTAGCAACAGAAATCTATTATCCAAAAAAAAGCTTTCGGAAAGTGATATTTCCTTTATCGAGGTAAATGGAAAATGACCACTGTAAAAATATTGATCAGTTACATAGTCGTTATCCAAGAAATTAGAATATGATTGAAACTGTTAAGCAGCATTGTATGAATGTGCGTGATGTGAAGTAATGTCATGAACAGTTGGAAAATTTACCAAGATAAACGCTTGATGAAATGGAAACTTAAATTGATTTTTCAATAAAAGCACTGAATCAACAAATGTTCCTGTATTGTTTCGTGCTTTTGTTGATAAATCTCCTAATTGTTACTTTTGCACAAACACATACTTTTATAAGCTGTTATTTCAATACTACTCTTTGTTTTCCATCACTTAAAATTAACATACACAACAAATGTTATTTCACAATTTAGTCATACTGTTAGAAACGCATGATGTCATCACTTCTGGTACAACTATATAACTGATCAACATGCATAAAATAGCCATATACTGTTTACCCCTGTTGAAGGAAAGTCCACTATAACTTTCTACATTCTGTATATCCATATATATATATATATATATATATATATATATGCAACATACTGTAGAACAGGCCTATAGCCTATAGAAAGATTTAGCCTGTCCATGGACTGAAAGAGGTTGAGAATCATTGTTATGGATGACACAACAGTGTTCCCATCCTTTTTTGCTTCATGGTTTCTGGTACTTTCAATACAAATGGCACCTAATATTAAACATAGGCTAAACAAACAGATCAGACACCTCTGTGGTTAGGCACGGCTATCCTAGTTTAGAAATGCTTATCAGTTCCTGCCATCAATGCAGCTACTCTTAACCAAATAGCAAGATTACTGTCAATTTTTATGTACCCCTACCTGAAAATGTCGAATGTTCTGCAGTGTACTGGAATCTAATCTTAAGGCCAATCCATAGCTTGGCACATTTACCACTGGGCTATGTCTAGCGGCAATAGCATTTGATAATAAAACAAAAAAAAAAAAAGATTTAGGTGAGCTGCAAATTATTTCATAGCATACAAAAACTTTCATTTGTTGGGGAATGTAAGTGTCACAAATTATTTACTGCAACAAACTGACTTTACAGAATCCAAACTGGTACACACCAGTGAACAAATTAATGGCCACTCATTTATCAAAGCCATGCGCCTTGGATCTGTGAACTAAAGCTTTTTTCATACTCTTGGTCATGTTGATCTCTTCAAATAATGGCATGGTTAAATGACGACTTATTTTTAATAATCTACTATAAGCTATTTACTGTAACTGAATAGTGAGACCAATACAAAATAAAATAAATAAAACTTAAATGTCCAAGATGCAGGAAAACTATAACATGAAATATAACTATGACACATATTCTATTAGTAAAATTTCACTACATGTGTAACATACACAATACTTAATGCAGATATCCATATACAGTGTTGAAAATAGTTTTACTTCCCACTTTTGTTTTATAAACTGACTACAATGTGAATATGGAAAATAAAGACAAATAATAATAAATTTTCTTTTTTAGTTTAAATCAATAAAACGAATACATAATGCTCGATTATCATCTCAAAGTTTTCGTAATTCGGTATTCACGCCCATAGTTGAAACGTACAAGTTATAAATTATATAACTCACTAACTGTAGTCTGTAAGTGTAAATGTAATGGAAAGAGACTATCTGACTAGGCTAGCCTTTACTTTTAATAAATATGTGAACATCGGATAGCAAGCCAAACCATTCTTAAGTAAATATAACGTAATACTTAAAACATATTTTGAAATTTATCAACATATCAAAAATATATTTTTTAAGTTCTATTCTAACTTATTTAATGACTTACAAGTTACAGTTACGAAACATAAACCATATCCTTCGAGCAGTTAAGCCTTCGGAGTGACACCTACATTAAGTTACTGAACAGTTTGGCGTGAAAATTTTAACCCCTTGGATGTGAATTATGTGTGTCGAAGATTCCATTTGAAGTTAATAAATGCATATGGATACAATACACTTTTTATTACTATTACAGAACACAAATATAAGGATATTTCGACCCTCTTAGGTCATCATCAGATTATGAGTAATTATAGGCCATTACTCATTACAGCAATTACAAAACTGAGATAACATCTAGTGATTCGAGAATAATAATGTTAGGTTACCGTTAGCAGTATTGTTAACGTCGTGATTCTATGATCTCGACGAATACTAATAAGTGTCAACAAATCTTTTTTTCCATTCGATACATATTACGAGCACTTATCCAAGTGTTTATAATAAAGTTGAATTTGATTGTTTTGTCTATTTATAATACAACGCTGTGTCCAGTCTCTTTCTTTTGCATAAAGACTCAGCCAAAGGAAGAGAAAATCTAGGCATTGCTCTGCAATACAGTATCTGACTAATCATCCAGTTTTTGCGGTTCTTGCAGGCTACTCTCAGGGAATTCCGAGAATACCCATATACAATTGTCCAGACTTTGTTGTACACAGAGAAGATGGCCATTTTGATTGAAATAGACGACTTGCACATTCCTTTTTTTGTGCAATATTGAAATAAAGTTGTTTTGTTTCAAAGTGAAACATTTGTGGCTAGTTTTTTTGTTTTTTTTTTGTTCGAGACTGATTTATTAACACTCTGCACACATTATCTATATCTCCGGTATTTCTGATTTTGATATCTAATGTGTTGATTCACTTGAGAACACCACAGTTTGACTTCTAAAACAGAAAGTTCAAGAATCTAGTGTACAAACAGGACTATAGCACTTTAAGAAGAAAAGAAATGTAGACATAATTTCACAAAGAATAAAAATATTTAATAGTCTTTAGACTTTCGTCTATATAAAACAGCGCATAGTTAGTTTACATTCTTTAAATCAAAAGTAAAAAGGTAATAAATTTGCACTAATAATTTAAATTATACAAATGTTACATACCACAAGGTTTGTTTTATAAGATTTTCATTTGCTTAGCCCTGTTTCTGTGTCTTGCCCTCATGTGTGTAGGTAATGCTCATTTTAAGGAGTGATACAGAGATGTTTTAAGTTAGTAGTTGAAGGTTTATTTTCCTTGAATACATATTGTTACGTCCCCGTTCGTTAGTTAATTTTCCGTAAATTCTTTCCGACTAAACTTTAACGACACAAGTCCTTTCTTAACCCGATGACTACCGGTACTAACTTTCTTAGTAGGCAATGCAAGTGTGCATTTGTGAATTGAAAAAATGATATAGAACTTATCTTTTAATGGATTTCTGATTTTATTTTTATAAATAGTAGCATAACATTCAATTATTTGTACAAAATTGTATTCTTTAATGAAGTTTAAAGAGGAATTTAATGAAAAAATTCTTAAAATACGTTTTAGACTTTAAATAAGCGCCCTCAAAAATTTTTTTAAGATAGTTCCTTTCACCTCAGCATTGGTTCTGCCATCTATGATTGGTATCTAAACCTTTTTCTAGTCTGTTTTCTTTATAAAACTGCGTCTGGGCGTGTCAAACCGCAGTTGTAAAACTTTTAGCCAATCCTAGTCGAAAGTGTCAATTTCAGTACCAGTTATTCCAATTGCTGTATCTCCCATTTGACAAATCATAGGATGATAAGGAAAGCATGTGATGAAACGTTGTTCTCTGGATTTTACAATATGAATGTGGGCGGTGCTTATTATAGTAACTGCCATTTTATGTAGAGGTTGTATTTAGTACTGGCCAATAGGTCTTTTCTGTAAGCGTTAGAAAAGTTGCTTCTGGAAAAAAACTGCATGGGATATACGTGACTTTTATTTTTCTTATATAGTAGCTTAAGTCATGCTGCATGGTATATCTGTTTATATTAATCATTATATTGAAAAATTAACTCAAAATACATATATTTCTTAGGAAAGAAGTTGATCCACGATTGTTATGGTTAAGAGTTACCGAGTGCAAAGTCTTTACATGAATTAGACTTAGGAATTTGAACTGAAAGAGTTTGTGATTATTTATATTTTTTTGAATTTAAATTTGTAGTTTTAAGCTCAATAATTTAGCATAATTTTATATTTAGTTCATAATAATAATAATATGATTCAGTATTTAAAATTAAAAACTTGTGTGATTTGTACGTAATACTATTAGTACTGTTACGTCTCCGTTTGTTAATTAACTTTCCGTAACTTCGTTCAGACGAAACTTAAGCGAC